AACTCTTTATCTCGGGGTCAAAGATTTGACCTGATGTGGCTGTTTAGAAGCATTAAGTCTGACCCTCTCTAGAACCCAATTGGTGAATGATGAATTTGTCAAATAGCTATATAAATGTAGTTTGAAGGTTGATTAGGTATTTTTGAAGGGGAATAATTTATTATAATGAATATAAAAAAGTGGGGTGATGTTAAGGTTAACTTTAAAATATGAATTGAACCAAATGTGTACATCTTGTACCATCCCATTATGAACACATTTTGAATGTTTCACAATGTGTTATACATCCTTTTTGTTGACTTACCCATCTGCATTTTAATCTGGAAGTATGAGAAGTATGAAATCGGCATTTTGCATAGGGGGCTTCCAGAAGAGTCAATTTATTATCTTTACCATACCATAGTTTGTGAGCCTAAAATAAAAAAAATTCAGTACTTAACTTTCGTCACGTGGTTGTTAATGTACACTATTCCAAAATGATAAGCCATCAAATATATACTTTTGCATTACTATTTTGCGTGTTTAGCAATAATGGAGCTAGTTGTAAAATGTGTTAATGACTAGCTCGTTATGTTTCTTGTTGCTGGAAAGCAAAACATGAATGATTAGGTGAGTGTGTATTAATATTTATACGTGGGAAAAAAAGTAACGACCTTCTACCCTGCCCGCCAAAGTGGATCTGCTCTGGAATACATTGCAAATATCAGACATCCTTCTTTACTAAGTACTGTATTGTCAATGCAGTTAAACTCACACAGCACTGCAGTTCACTCTTTGTTGTCTTAATTTGTGATTGAAGATATTCGTAGCGGTTTCAAAGATGTATTTTTCTGACCAATATTTTGCGAAGAAGAGTTGACTTGTCTTGGATAATGGCTGTGAAATGGTATGTTGCCAAATAGTGAATTGACACGTTTCTTAGGTGGTTTATGGAATCCCAATGGGAGTACGATCCACTAGGTGGCAATGAAGATGTTCATTTTAGGATTAACACCCCCCACCCCACGTGTTAAACACCCACCCTGTGTCACAATTAATTTGTTTGTGAAACAATGAAGACTGTGCTCTGGCAAGTGTAATTTTCGGTGGTTTTCGCTGACACCACGCCACAATGTTCTGTTATCAACAATGGAGGATCGTGTGTGTAAGCATACTGGCATCTTACACATGATCCTACATTGGAAGATGGCAGTATTCTTACACATATAATCCTACATTGTTAAAAAATGATGATGCTCTCGTGAAATCGTGCATGCACTGCTCATAACCATGCTGTCTGCTGTCTTAGTGTGGGTGTGTGGGTTACAATCTGGTCATATACAAGCATAACATGGACGACCTCTCGGGACATCAATGTCGTTGCAGTTGTATTAGCATGGGGTTATTGTATGGTGAAAACATAACCTTATAGCATACGTGCGAACATTTCCAAATCATTTTTATGTAAACACAAGCCCTTCTATATCCAGCTGCCACCCATGGAATAATAATAATAATGATTTAACTCGAACCCAAAGGCTCCATAGATTTTCCAAGGATCAAGTGAAAAAGACACAGGCACCTTTTCTGAATCCCTCTTGCCATGGACCCCTGATTGTCACCCAGTGGAGGTCCTCCCAGATGGTGTCACTTTGCTGTCATTGGCCATCCGCTGCAACGGGAATAGCTTTGATTGCTCCTCCATTCCTCCATTTGTTGGCATACTATTTTGTTGAACTCCCAAATGCTCAGATTGGGTGCTTTATTTAGTCTAAGAGCGACCTTCTCATGTAACTAAAAAAAACACAGATGCATATATCCTGTACGCTCTGGATGAATAAATGAGAATATATTTAGCATTTCCTCTGTTGGAGCTCACGATCTCCAAATTCATTGATAATTTGAAATTACATTTCCATGGTTTTGAGATGAGTTTCCATAATTGTTTGTTCCCTTGACAAATCACATTAATAAAATGTGAATATCTGTAAGGGAGATTAATATTTACACACTGTAATAGCCTTATTCCATAACAAGTTAACATGTTAATAATTATGACCCCTGTTAGGACAAACAGGCTTACCAACATAAGTGCTATCGCAGTTTTTATATTTTTATTTTAAAAAAATGTAAATCTGTTTGATTCTCCATTAAATAATTTAATGGAGCTTGGTTTCACACATTGACCACAAAATAATTATTTTGAGTAAACTGTAAGGGGTGCTCCATGTATTATGGGCCATTTTGTGTTCTTGTTTATGAGTTTACGGAAAGATTGGTCAGCATTCTTTCGGAGGCATTAACGAAGTCTAAAGGCTTTTAATTAAACATGAGCCCTTCATGTGGACTGAATGTAGCCCAGCCAGCTGATAAATGGTAACACTAAAAACAGCAATCAGTTGGAAAGGGTAAAGGGGTTAGACACTCCATCTGCTGCCATGGTAATATCCATCACTTGCATATAGGTGTAATACACCACCACCACCTTGCTCTAACAGAGGGCTATACAATTTGATTTGAAGAGAAAACAAACTGCTTTATTGCTATCGTGTCATATATAACTTAATTGTGTGGATTGCGTGTTTTGTTGTTATTTGAGTGGTTTTAAAATGTTTTTTATTCCGTTATATTTTGTGGAATGTATCGTTTAAGTTATCACAATTCGCAAATGACTTGAGTTCAATCATTACCTTTAAATTCATGGTGTCCTTTCATCAAATTGATTACTGCCTTATTGTGGTCAACACTTCGGGAAATTAGATAGGGATTAGAGGTATCTCATTTCTTCTGTCATATTACCGACGATCACAACATATACATTAAATAAGGGTGCACATTTATACATTTCTTTAATGAAATGTTCATTGCTTTTTATAAGGTGTACACTTTTTCAGCTTAAGAGATGATCATAGGGAGATCTGTAAACGGTTTTATCATTTGAGCAGCAATCAACTACCAGCTGTTCTTGTGAATAATTTAGAAGTTATGTCTGCCCATAGTCTCTGGGCACTTTTGCATGGAGTGAAACCAGACAGAGCACCTCTACACAAATCATTCTTGCCGGGCAGATCAACACAGATACAGGCTGATGAATTCTACGATACGCGTTTACGCACAGTTAAATATGTTTTACTTATTTTGTTATCTGAATGGATACAGTGAATAGTTACAATGTCAGAATGTTGTTTTCATTGAATTGCTTTGCCTGTGGATTGTAAAAGTACTTAAGTATTGGTTTCCAATAATCTCCAAAAGCAATTGTGCCATATGTTATTCCTTTACAATCAGAAAAACGCCCAGTAAAATTATAGTATGCTTCAGTAAGAGAGACATGGGAAATAATACCAGAAATACCCATTCATATACGTTGTTTGTAATGTTTACACTTTTCAAATTTGGGATATGGCCCATTATATCAACGGACAATTTAAAAGGAACATTAAAGACCTCGTGAATTATGTAAAAAGCCATGTTGTCTTCTTTCCAAAATTCCACATTGGTAACTATTCCTTAATCGTTCACACAGCTGTAATGATGTTCAATAAGGCTGTTTACCTGTCAAAAATCAGCCTGAATATTATATATGTTGTGATTTGATTGCATGCACTATTATTTTAATACCATATAGTTTAGAGGATTATATAGTTAGCATGTACCATCTTAAGTTATAACATTGCATGTTGCGTGTCTTAAACCCGCACTGACCAGCGTGTTGAAGCCAAGTCGCATGTCATTCCTCCAGTGGTATCGTTGGCTTGGGTAGGCCTTCATCTGGCAGTGGATAGATCTTGGCTGAAAATAACTATGCCCTGGAGTGCTACTGGGTAGTCTTGTATTGAACCCATTGAACCTGTTCATATTGGCTCAGATGCAGCGTCAATGAACCATGAGACTATCCAGTTATTTGTTATCCTGGGAAGCAACGATTACAATGAATCCATTAGTTCTGTGTTACTATGTATAGCAATGCACCATGCTATAAAATACTGTAACCTGTTTTAAAATTAACTTTAACTTGCCCTACGTTTATTGATTATAAACGTTGGGATGTGGCATGGAATGGTAATTAAAATAGTATTTAGACGGATTTTACGCCCCTTACTTCATCTGTGTGATGACAAATCAATCCGAAAGTTGTGTTTTAGTCTTGTGCTGTCCCTACATTGTTGTTTGTTCTGCCTGGTTAACTTTTACTCGTAATGTAAGAATCAAATTACATTTCTCATGAATAGAGGATTCGATTTTTTTCCTTGCACAACTCCATGCATTTATTGTGACCAATAGAATTTAAGTTCATTGACTCGTTGCATTATTAATTGTGATCTTTATTTAATTTCTCAATACAGAATTGACTATTTAGTGTTTAAGGAATGTGTAAAGGCATACGTATTCCCGATTAGGCTTCTATATTACAATGCGAATTCATGTTTTTTTATAAACCGCACTTGGAATGTTAATCACTTCCCTCAACGGTGTAAACAAGCATGACCTGATAATAATGGTTTTGGCAAAAGTTATTCAAGTGTTCTGAAAAATCTAAATACGCTACAGAGTTTTCATACGTAACTAAAATAGAACAAAATCTTGCATTTCAAAACCACAATCAACATTGTAAAAAATAGGAAAAAGTGATAGTTTGAAATGCACATTTGGACAGATGGTAAGGCATTTTTAATAGGACTGTATCTAAAGAGTATATGACGCTTAGGTGAAGTGTTTATTATGGAGATAGGGGCAATTTGTGATAATATTTCCCTTGAGAATACCGTGCTTACACTTTTGGCCAAGGTTTAGCCCATCAGTGATGTCAATTTAACTTTGTCCACTCTGCCAAGCCTCTTTGACTGGGATTTAGGAGAGTACCAACTCTGACCTTGATCGCTGAATAAATGAATGAAAATCTGGAAGAATGGAACAAATACAACTTTTGTGGCATTTGGGAGTAATGCGGTTTCGTGGCGTTTAGTTTTCGAGCGTAATTATTTTGATAAAATTGCTATTTTTCTCCCTCTCTCTTACAGGCTAAACATTTCCCCCTGTGGAGGTTCTGCCCAGTTGCTTGCAGCAGCTCAGTGGTGTCCTCTGATGGTGAGTAAGCAACACTGCTTATAAGGACGCACTCATTTCACATCGTGGTTGCCGAACATTAACCACAATACCTCGCTGATCTTGTCAAGGAGCATGAACCATCACGGGAGCTCCGGTCATCCTCGCAGCAGCTTTTGGCTGCCCATCAGATGCGCTTCTGCGGCCGTCTGGAATGCTCCTCATTTAAGAAGGCACTGGAGCTATGCACATTTTCACGTAGATTGAAAACTCATTTCTGTTGACCTGCTTTTTGTGTTTAGTTTGTTGTCCTCCTCCCGCACCTCCTATTAGTACGGTTGGCTACGTACGGTGCGAAAGAAGTTCGGCATAACTTATATACTACTACGTTGTCACCGTGATTGTGGCATAAATTAACAAACCACTGCTGTAGAAAGACTGCTTTTCAGTAACTGGCACATTAACATACGCGTTACATTATTTCGAGTCGTGTTACGTTGTACCATAAACGTCGTGCTTGTGTTTACAGCCAGCGGTTAAAGCTCAAACCATATTTGTAATTGTCAAAATTGGCTTTGTACCCAACGACGTCCTTGTATTCATAAAGTTGCAGACACCGTTAAACGAATCTCAATGACCGTAACGAACAACTTGATGGTTTTGTCTCACAAAGAAATAGGACAATCAATGGTCAAAAGGCGTTGAATGTTATCGAGCGCCATGGTGCATGCTCTGTAACCTTTTAGGGACACATTTAGGGCACCTCAACAACACGTTTTGCACCAAGGGAGAGGGAAAAAAGTGCAGCAATCCTGTGGGCTTCAACTCTTTCTTTACCGCGTGTTCATTGTCCCCTCAATTTTCTGGCAATTTATGCTGAAATTGGACTGTCGGGTTGGATTTTGCTTGGTCGGGAAAGACTTTGAAAGTAAGTGTGGTGTGTTCCTGCACATTCTTTTGGGTAGGTAGCATATACAGATGCACAGATATGTGCAGCTTTTACATTTGTTTCAAGGTTGTAAATTACTGCCTGCAAGCAAACCATCAGTTTTATAAATGGACACACCCTTTTGCAATAGTCTTTTTGGCTTTGGCTTTTAAATCACACAGGAATGTCGTACCAGACTAAACCATTTGAATGACAGGGACATGCCTATGACCTTTCCAAGTAAAAGGTACCCCTCTGTTACATGATTGTCAAGCCGGGTTTTTTTTTAAAATGCTACAGATTTTTTTTCGTGAATTTGATGCATTTGCTATCACGTTAAGATATCACTTTCCCTCGCTGAAACACGTTTTATTTATCAGATATTAGAGCGAATAATCAAGTGTTATTGACCAATTAGACTGACATCCTAAGGGAGGGATGAGATGACCACTAAATACATTTTAAATGCAAACTGTGAATGGACCTCATGGGATTTCATGACAAACATTCATCAATCAGCAGCTCTGGCATGTAGGGGTCACCCTTGGTGGACTGTACACTTTATACTTGCCCGGAACATTAATTTCCTTACGGATGCTCTGGTATTACCAAATCTCTCAGAATGCGCCCAATTTCATGAAATCTCAGAAGCTAAGTCGGATTTTTAGGCCTGGATAGTGCTTGGATTGGGTGACTTCTATGCAAAACAAATGTTAGATGCTGTAGGGCATCGTGGTGGGCAGCATATTGCGGTGTACTTCAATAGTCTCACGTGTCTAACACCCCGTCTTTACGAACCCATGCGAGCTAGAATGGTGAAGTATGGTCAAATAACCCCCTCAGCCCGCATCGTGCGTTGAGGCCCTCATCCAGCGGTTGATTGACACATGTCTGTACATGTACGTGCATTTGCTCTGGGATGAACCTTTTTAATATCAGCGTTTTTGTTTCACACGTTTTGCAGAGGTAACTGTGTCATATGCCAATGGACTGCCGGTGGTGTCCATTACCCTGCCTTCACGAAAGGAGCGATGCCAGTTCACACTGAGGCCTGTACTGGAGAATGTCGGAGACTTCTTGAGGAGTCTGCAAGCAGAGGATCGGGGAATCGACCGTGCAGCAATATACACACTAGGTGATGCCGGAACCATCGGTGGTTTTGAAATCGTTGCGTTTGGCGCATGCCGAGTTGTTTGGCACATTCATTACAATTATTTAAAGTGCAGCAGCAGGTGATACAGATGAATGGGCTTTTATTGCATTAAATGTATAACGTTTCTGCTTCCGTGACCTTACGTAATAAGTAACGGGTTAATTAAAAATAATAACTAGCATCTTTAACTGTTGGTGAGAGGAAACGATTTTTACTGGCACTGAGTTAAGTGATGTAAAAAAAAACCTGTTATTTTTAATTAACCTGCAATTGCAAAATTTGTTCTCATATGGCACAATTATATTTTTTATATATATTTTGAAGAGTCCTACCAATTGTACATTAGTAACGTGGCATACAATTCATAAATGTTGGTGGGAGAGGACATACCTTATATGGGGCAATTATATATAAAAAAAAACATTCATTACTATATGCAGCAGTAGCTTTATAAAAGAAGATGAAAAATAGCTTGAATTTGTAAATGTGTGTGGGTTTGTGTAATTACTTCCATACATGGTTTCCTTCCCTGTGCAGATGGAACCAGAGTTGCAGCAAGCACAGGGGTTGATATTCTTCTTTTGGACGATTTTAAACTTGTCATCAACGAAGAATCGTATCTGGTTCAGCCTCCTAAACGAGGTACAGTAATTAATGCCCGTTAGTTTGTGACTGACTATTTGAAATGTTTTGAATACGTTGTAAAAAAAGCTGTGTTTAAGTAGTGCAAATGGATTGCAAAACAATGAAAGGACTATCCAATTTTTTTCCTGTGTTACTAATTGAAGGTAACTAATTGAAGAAAACAGATTTAACGGATTCCATTAAGATAATTACAGAGCTACAACTTCTGCTGAAGATTTATTGATGTCAATATTACTCAACTAAAAACCCTTCACTTTAAGCACGAGACTAGCCATCCTGTGTTTTTGCCAAATTATGCACTGCCCTTCGTCATTCCACTGCTAGATGAAGGCCCACCCCTGCTGTGTTATTCATGGGGGTTGTTTTGACCATACTTTACGCTGGTCAGTGCAGATTCGTGAACGAGGTGGCCCATGCCCGGTTCATAGACCTTTCGCAACTTATGCCAGCCATAGTTAGGAAGCTAACTGACAGCCAGGATTATAGTGCAGCGTGCTAACCCCTCGCCGCTGTACTATTGCTCCCCCCCCCACAGCCACCACAAAATAAACGTAAGTAATTAATTGGTGTAACAATTGTTAGAGGAAAATACAAGCTTTACACTTCTGTAAATATGCTTGTGAGATTAAGGTAGGATTTCTCTCAAAGTCCTAGGTACATACTTGCTTATGGTATAGTTTTAAACTTAGTTTGACGATACCTAATGAGATTTACATTAATTACATTTATGACCAATCTGTATCCGATGTGTAGTATTCTCCTTTCGTACTTTAAACCATGCGGTTTTTTTCCATCCACTCATGATTTCGTCTCACCTGCAAAAAATAGTAATGATGTAATTGGAAAAAAAACATCTTGGATCAAATTCTATATGAGCTTGTACTAAAACATAAATGGTGCTCAAATATGCTGCAAATCTATCTCAAATGGGTTTTAGTCTGCCAATAAATTTACGGAAGCAAGAGCGCATAGACCACAGCTAGAAGTGCCTTGCAGTGCACGCATCTCCCAAATTGGATTCTAAGGATTGCAAGCATCCAACCTAATGGTTAGAGAAATAGGATTGTTTGATACTGGAGCCAAACGCTGGGAAAAATGTCAAAGGGACCTCTGAAAGCATCTTACTCTGAACACTAAATGTAGTGGCCCTTTTAAAATCACTGCTACAAAACCATATTAGCAGCCATAAAGAAATGTTGTTTCTTATTTTTGACTTAACGCGTGCATTATTTAAAGGTGCTGGGTTTGGCTGTAAACACGAATGCTGTCCGGACAAAATATGTAATTGAAACGATTCCTTTATACTTCAAAGTTACTTATAACAGGCACAGTCGATGCATCTGTGCATCAATGAGTTCGTACTTGATTTTATTTTTTCTGTGATATCTTTTTGAGTTAATGTTTCCACCCCCCCCCTTCCTGTGCTACTGTTGCTTTGTGGTACTGTCCAGGAAGCCTCAGTGCTGACGATGCGACCGCCCTCGGGGAGGTGAAGGTCTTGGTGCAGCAGATGTACACCACGCTGCGCATTGAGGAGCACCAGCTACAGCGCGAGAGAGAGTTGCTCACCAAACTGGACAACCTCCGGGTCCAAATTGAGCCACTTGAAAAGGTTTCTTCCCCCCCACCCCCCCCGATTACTTCGCACCTTCCAATGCCATTCTCCAAAATAGATGAAATCCTTGGCTGTTATGCTATAGTACAGGGGTGCTTGTGCTTAAATGTGCGGCCCTTCGGGCCACATATGGTCTGCGTTTCATTTTGTAACTAAGCCTGTTTATACGTGGTCCACTGCTTTGAAACGGCTTGCAAAACTTTATCAGTCACTGCAAGGGTCTTCTTGCATGCAGTCTTTTACTGGGGGGAAATATTTTTGATCTGGCAACACTGTTTGCAATTTTAGCACGCTCAGTCACTTGTGCCACTGTAAGGGTGCCTCTTTGTGCTCTGTTGACGTGCATGTTCGGTTCGGCGTTCTTGTACACAAACGTGTTGGAGTGTGCGTTGCGCGCTTAACACACGGCGGCGCAGACCTTATGATCACCGAACAGTGGGACGTAAAGTGTGCGGCGAGCGAGTTGGATAACGCCGAGGTGTGTTAAAGCGTAGCCTGCCAGACGTATTTGAAAGTGAAGTAAAGAAAATGTTACTCCCACCTCCCCACGACCACTGCTATAACGGATCTAAATTGTCCATGTGAGCTCGGTGTTATTTTTATGACACTTTAATGAGTTATTTTTCGCTTTTAATCGGGTTAGAGGAGGGTTGGTCAATATATTACAATGAGATAATTTTGGCAAAGGGCATTTTAATATGCCAATGTTTTACTTTATGTACTGCAGATGCAGTGTGGTGGCAATTTAATTTTAACAGTTGCGTCATAGATAAAATACTCGACCAGAAACATTACTCGTTTTTGTTTCTGCACTCGGTAAGGTGGATGGCAATCACATGTAGATGCTATATTAATCCAAATAGTTGTTTTATCTTCTGATGCATCCAACGTCTATCGTCTACTGCGTGTAACATTACCTTAGCTGAAGCCACGCAAAATAAATGTGAAATATGAATTTTCAAATCCCCCCCCCCCCCCCATCCTCGTTTTGTTCTCCTCTCTCGACACAGGCACTGATCTCGATGAATTTGTCCACCCTGTTTTCTTTCACAGGTGAAGAGAGATCTGAAGCTGAAGGCAGAAAAGCGCACCCGTTTGGTGTTGTGGGGGGGCCTCGCGTACATGGCGACACAGTTTGGATTCCTGGCACGCCTCACCTGGTGGGAGTACTCGTGGGACATCATGGAGCCTGTCACTTATTTCGTCACCTATGGCAGCGCCATAGCCATGTACGCCTATTTCATCCTAACTCGACAGGTGGGTAAACTTGGGAGTGTGCACCTTCAGTGTATCTGCAAATAGAAGACCTTACAATGCGAAAATGTGGTTATGTATATTTTATTAGCAATCTGTGCTCGCATCGGAAAGTGCTGCTGTGTACCCCGTGTTGGTGACAAAATAAATCCATCTGCTGACCTTGGGAGTACAAATAAAGAGATGAAATGCTTCACAGGTGCTGCTTTGTTGCGTGAATGAGATTTGAGTGAGAATATGAAGTCTTTTAAGTGACGGTGAACTTGCTCATTACAGGAATACATCTACCAGGACGCAAGGGATCGTCAGTACCTGCACTTCTTCCACCGTCATGCTGAGAAGACTCGCTTTGACTTTGCCGCTTACAACAAGCTCAAGGATGACATTGCCCAAGTAGGTCCTCAGCAGGAGATAATATTTACATTTCAGAGAGTCGAAGGTGCTTTTTGAAATGCATTTGGCATGCCACGCATGAACACACCTCGGTCACTTCAAGGAAGCCTTTGCGAGCGACTCAAGGGACAAAGTACACTAACATTTGAAAGTGTTGCCAGGTTAAAAATATAGCCTTGTACTACCTGATTATTTCAGCCAAGACGTAGTGAAGGATGGGTATTGTTTGCAGGTCGTTGTGAATTGGTAGACTTCGTGTGGCCGTGGGTCGCATGAATTGGAAGTCGCAGGCCTGGTAGGTTCCACTAGCCTACAGGTAGCTCATTTTACGTTTTCTCGTGGCTTTCCCGCAGTAATATCATTATCGCCTCGTTAAAACTCTATCGAGACGAGAAATCATGTTGGCAAGGGACCCCCGGGAAAATAGTACAAGAGGCCAATGGGAACACGTGAACTTTTCACAGGATTATACAATTAAGTTATCTTTTTTGACGTGTACTATTTGTACAGATTAAATCATACTTGTCATGCAACTAGAGCTGCCCGTTTAGACCTCCTTTGAGCTGTATGCCTTTTGGCGTCATCTGGTCGAGCACCAATTGGGTCGAGGCTCAAAATAAAGCCGCTCCTTGTTGTGGACCAATCAGTTTCAAAGACAATGCATATATTATAATAGTATATTTTTTTGTTTGCATTTTGACTGCAGGTATTGTCGTTAATGCAGACATGAATCCTTGTAAGAAGGTTTCAGTTTTGTTGCCAGTAAAAAGGGGAAAACCCCTATTATTAGAACTACCCGTTTATTTTTTAAGGCAATGTAAACTGCACTGGCGGAGGAACAATGATCCTACATACACTTTATGGAAGATTGTATTAAAGAGTGGTTAAATGTTCGCTTAAAGCCCTCTGACGATTGTTCGTTTCATCTCTCCCGTTGTTATTTAGGCCGAGCTGGATTTGAAACGTCTAAGAGATCCACTTCAGCTTCATCTGCCCACACCGCAGCTGGAAGGCAAACATTAAAAATGTAAACATCGAAAGAGCCTTTTATCAGCGAGGAACTCTGCTGCTGCTGTTGCACAACTGCAGTTCTGGCCAACCTAGAGTGACTCCAGTTTTATGCCTGCAGTGATAAGCTAGTTCATCTGCGTTGGCTTTTGGTGAAAAGGGTTTAAAAAAAAGAGAGTTATACGACTGATCATCAGCATGATGAGAGTACATGTACTTGTTTGTTTTTTTTGGTGCCTTGCCCAAGAATATGTAGTGTTTGAAAGGCTAGTGATGGGATACCATTGAATTGCCTAACCTGTATGCATGTCAAGCGGTTTAAACCCGTTGGAGATTAAAACAAATGTTTTGGATGCACTGGTAGTAATATGTTGGGGGTTATGCTGGTGTTTTACGCTTTACGATACAAAATAATTTTACATTGTTAAAGTTAATTCCAAAAAAATGTATGCATTTTAACTATTGAGGTAATTAAGGTCAGGGTTTGTCTGCATAACTGTTGTGTTATGACTTATGTACGATGTATGAAAACACACTTATACAAATCCATGTTCTGTTCATAATAAAAGATTTTGAAATAATACACGTTCTTTTTTTAATGTCAGGTTGGGTTTGTTGAACGTAATAAGGTTTGATTAATGAGGCCGTTTGCGCGTGTACAGTTTAGTCTATTTACATTGCAGATGCGATCCTGAAAAACGTGTGATGTAAGGTGAAACGACGTAAATGGAAACCAATTTTTACTATTGACTTAATGATACAAATTTAGGATACGTTCCTGGGGGTAATTTTTTTGTTGGTAAAAAAAATTTCAGAAAAAAATTGAAATAAGTACCAAAAATGATAAAATATCTCCATATATATAAAAGGCAAAGTTGTGAATATGTGTCTGTCCAAAATGTTTAGCGTACTTCCCGACATGCAACAAACTGGAAATTTGCCATGTGGGTACTTTCCAGACTGTACACAATGCAAAAAGTTATAAAAATACTATTGGGGGGGGGGGGGGTGGAGCTAATAATGCATTTTTTTTTGCACGGCAAGTGAGCTGTGATGTCAAATCTGTCATGTGACCCGCGCATGTGGAAGTGTAACGCATTGCAGTGTAGTGGTTAGCGTGCTGCGCTACGAACCCAGCCATCCGAGTTCGATTCCTGCTCACGGCCACCACTGGTGACGATTATTTGAACCGGTCCTGGGCCTCCCCTAGTTCGACTCAGCCTCAAACGAGTAACTGGTGTGGTGTGTGAACATCGCCACTGGGGAGACAAAGGTGAATCCAAGTCCCGGGCGAAGCCGGGTAGTAAAGCTAGTCCTGTATATATTTAAGCTTGGTCCTAAAAAATAAGTTAAATACTGAGTACTCACCAGAGATGGCAGCAGAGGTTGCATTTAAAGAGTCCCCGATAGTGTCCAGCATTGTGATATAAACACTGAGGCTTGAGGTCCCGACACTTGTCTTCGCGTCGTCTGCAGTATTTTACTACGGAGCATTTTTTCCCATCACATTTTTTTTTACAACACTTAATAGTGTCCAGAAATACAGGGTGATTGAGTTTAACACCTAGGCTTTCGCGACCAATATTCATAATAAAGGTTTTTAGGTTGGATCGCGTTATTTATAAATGTGTCGCAACCGTCCACCACCCGACACGGCCAATCGGTAAAAAAATGTCACGTTGACAAAAGACAAATAGTTCACTACTTTAGCCCACCGGTGTGTTGAGTGAATCCACAACATAAAAAAAACATTTTACAGGGTGATTCAATTAGAGATGCTCCACTGATTGCTAATGACTTTAGTTTTTAACAGGTGACTAAATATTGTTCATGCGGTGGCTCTTTTACTGACAGAGAAGAGTGTCGAAAGGTTTCACACGCGTATTTGCGATTGGCAGGTGGCAAACAGTGACTTTTAATTTACCCCTATTATGTTAGTGTATCTATAAATGGATCACCCTCTGTTGTTTTGCTCATTAAAGATGGTGGATTCTGCCCTGTTCTAAATTAAGCCCTTGCTCATACTATATATTATCACAATATTTGAAAATCCTAGGCAGCATCTGCACCAAGTGTGGCATCTCGTCAGAAAATTAAACTTCTGAACTGTAAATTGAACGCTGTCATACCACAATTTTTATATTCCTAGAAAATCATAGCCAATATACATTTTGAGGATATGCGTTGGCAGGTTTTGGTAAGACATTAACTGAAGCAGGGTTCTGCTTTTTTATCAGCAGGTGTCGCCCTATCGACAGAATCTGTATGGCCAAACTGGACATTTCCCCATTAAATTACTCGGCACCAAATGGTGCATTCATATAATATAAAAAAAACAATTTCAGAAAATGTAAGAGGAGACAAAAAGTACACAGGTTTTACAAATGTCTATGTCTTATTAGCAACAACAACCCCTGAAATGGATTTTGAAAAACCTGATTATTGGAAATATGTGGGTACAGTTGTGTTTTTTTTTTATGCCAATATTCACAATTTTAGAGTACTTTTGTCTCTAAGACTTTTGAAGGCTATATATGAAGTAATTATTCATGAAAGATAATTTCGCTCAAGATACATAAATTAGTGAGAATCGGCTGAAGCTAAGTATATGCTAATCTTTATTTGCATTAATGGTATGATCAAAACAGACCATAAATATGGGGACAACACAACAAACGAGACGCTACAAATTAATACAAGATGGACAGTATGATCTGGACAGCACAAAAGACGATACAAAGATACTAATATATTAGACTAAATGAAATCATAGGTTTTTAAAAAGTGAAATCACAAACCTGAGTGATGACACTTTAGTTGTGGTGTGCAGTTGAATCATTACACGATTAATACTGGTAGGAAACGTAGTGGACTGGAAGCCCAACCGGGATTAATTCACAGGAAGCAGGGGATTGTGTATGTCTGTGGATGTCTGTCCACGTGGGAGGGGTGGGGCTGGGTGGAGAGGGGAGGGTAGGGAGGGGCTGGGTGGGGGGGGTGGGAGGGGTGGGGCTGGGTGGGGAGGGGCTGGTCACCCCGTGGTGCCCTTATAAAACTCAACGTTTAACCTACTCACGCCGGCTTGTGCCCGCCCTCACAGTCGGGCATATTTGTGGAATGCACCACGCCGCCGTTGACCCTGGCCATTGACCGAGCAAGCCAACGTTCCTACCAGCCCCCTCCGCAGGAATGTGTTACCATGTGGATGAAAAAAAGCATATTTTTTCGAACAATTTTAAACAAAACCTTTTTTAAAATTTTAGCGGGTTAGGCCCACTGATATTTAAAGCCCTTTTCCAGAGGCAACCTGGTTATCACATGACAGCTCAACGAAGTGGCTTATCACGTGGAAATTTATAGCAGCCAAATACTCTAAACGCACGTTTCTAAATGTGGAGGGGAAAAAAACCGGAGGACCTGGAGAAAAACCCACGTGACCGTGGGGAGAGAGACACGCAAACTCTAAATATACAGCAGGCGTCAGTGTTGGGACCGAACCCACGACCTCCTGCATACCAGGCGAGAGAATTAGCATCGCCACCGCGGCACTATCGAGGGAAAAGGGCAAAAAACCGCATAGGCATTGTTTAAGCTATCACAATTTATAGTTTCCAGCCAGTTATTTACAATAAACCATGAAACTGTCATTTCCACAGTACCTTTGGAGATGGCAAGAATATTGTTTAATAATGCAGTACATATGAAATTGGATTCGCCCTAATCCATAGACCATGTACTGGCAACTTAATTTAAGAAGTTAATGGTGTGACTCCTCACCATAACCCCGTTCTCAACTCTCTCGGGTACGGCGGTTTGTGGAGTGTGATTGCTCGCACTAAAGGTGAAACGGTTATCAACATTGCGTGTTATTTCATGTGAAGCCCAAGCAAGTTCCGATAAGTGGTGTTCACAGAGGAGAGGGGACTGCTTGCAGCTGTAAAATCTAATCAAAAGCATTGAGGGGCTGTGGAAATGACACGTTATTGCTCATCAAAAACAGTGACTTTCATAATATTGAGGTAGAATACAAAGTCAATCGAAGGCAGTGTAATATAATGAAAACCCATGAGGTCTTCATGTAAAATAAGTTTTGTCCATTGGCTTAAGGACTTTCCGGAACGATGCTTTCCTGCAGCATTGGTTTTAGCAGACACACACAACTGATCTCGACCTGTATTCTTGGTTCTTTCGGTAAAGTCACCTAGAAGGGAAACAATAAAATAATAAAAATATAAAACAATAAAATTATCACGACGTTTCGACTGCAACACAAGCAATCATCATCACAAGCAATCATCAGGTGTGAAAACCACACCTTTTATTGTTTTCCCTTCTACGTGACTTTACCGAAAGAACCAAGAATATGAATCCCTGCAGTCACGAAAGCTTTAAATCAAAATTTTATCTCGACCTTCTGGGTGCCATCGGGAGAGTTCGACCTCGCAAACAAATACTGCTGGGTTGTCATGGGACCTCCATATAAAGCTATAAAACACTAAGTCCATTTGCCGACACATTTTTTTATATTTATTAAACAATTACTTCCGTCTTCATTTTGTATCGAGAGCCCATGATTATCCACAACATCACACAATGAGTTTTATACCTAGAAAAGAAGTGCCTTAGATTTGAAAGATTATGAAAGAGCCTACCTACAAAACGAGTTCGACATGTAGCAAAAGACCAAACAAGAATTGCCAGTGACTCCAAAGATTACTGATCATGCCATGAACCTTATGCATATAAATGCAACAAAAATGCAACAAAAGCTGGATTTTAACATTTTTTTAAATCAGGAATGGTACATCTTTTAAATAAAAAATGTAAGCTTTATTGTATTCCGTATGCATTTATTTGAAGGTTTACTTGAGAAAATCAGCCAGAGATTCCGATATTTTTGGCCAAAAAGCCACCTAAGCGCGTCATAGTTTTTCTATTTTTTTGAGACCAAAATCTGCCATTTGTCTTGCATTCATCAATGTATAAATTAAACTGAGTTTTAACGCAACCAATACCTCTGTTTAAATGCTACAGATAAAACAAGTAATTGCGTTTAAAACTTGCTCCTTGTACGGCGATAATTTTTGGGACGGCAGTTTTTTTTTAAACGGAGGACATCACGCTCACGAGTGCTACCCAGTGGCTTATCTGACTCGATTCAATCACGGATTCACGTGGGATGCCTCTTTTAAAACGTGCGATGTCCTCAAAAAGACTTCGACATATTGCAATTGTTTCACGTGCTTTGGAAAGTACGTAAGTGATTTAAACGACGAAATCAGCAAAACAGACTCGTGACAGGGCATAACATCGTGCCTCGCTTGATGACGACGCTGCAAGTCATGTTTACGACTTTATTATTTACAAGAGCATATACTCACGAGCTGAACTCCCACAGACCGTACTTCATAGCAACGTGCACTGGCCAAGAAGCCCCAGAGCTGCAGAGCCAGAACAGTCGGCCTCTAAATCTGATTCAAGGTCCTGAGCCATTCTGTCTGGCCTCGGGGTCATTGTCCGGGGCAACCAAAAATAACAAGAAGAGCCATTCCCACCTACCCCGTTCAAATTCGTTATATATAA